ATGTAAATACACAGCGAAGTAAAGAAATATAGTTGCTGTCACGCCTGAGGTCGAAGATTCGAACTCGTTAGCAGGAATATCAGACCTTCATTAGTAGGAATTAGTAAAATTAGTAGATGTAGGAATTGATAAAATTAGCAAGAATCGTTAGAATAATGAGAACATTAGTAGGAATCATTAGAATGACCGAAAACATTAGTAAGAGTCGTTAGAATAATTAGGAATGTTCGGAGAAATCGTTAGAATAATAGGAACATTAGTAAGAATTGTTAGAATATAGGAATATTAGGAGGAATCGTTAGAATAATAGGAACATTAGTAGGAATCGTTAGAATAATAGGAACATCAATAGAGACCATTAGAATAACAGGAACATTAGTCAGAATCGTTAGAATAATTGGGAATATTAGTAGAAATATTAGGAATATCAGATCTTAGAAAATCTTAATTTATTTTGGTGATAAATTGACAGTGCTTGCGTATACCAAGAAATCAAACCTGCCTTCAGCTTGCTTCCGAGTGAACCTCAAAAAAGGAGACATTTGGTGATCTCATCACAGGGAAACTCTCAGTATTTCTTACCATTCGGGCTATTTCCTTGTAATTTTCGCTTTCGCAGAAAGTGAAAATTGGAGAATGTGGGGGGAAAAACAGGCGGGGGGGGGGGGGGGGGGTAGTTTGACTTTTTAACTTGCAGGTATTCGCTTAACAGAGTTTTATTTTACAGAGTTAAATGGATGCTTTGCTAACACTATTTTTTAGCAGTGAAATTGTTAACCTGTTGTTTAGGTAATTTTGCTTATCATTGGTGTCGTTATCATCATCTTAGTAATTTGTGCAATTGCGATCCGTCTTACATTTAAGAAAATAATGGGTGAAAAGGTATGGTTTTTTTTTTTCCGAAATGCATCAATTTTTCGTTTTTTTCCGTTTAATTTTGTGTAGTTTATTTATTTCATTTCCAATTTCCATGTTATCAAGTTTCTAAGTTTTTTTAATTTCATGTTTAATTAATTCTTAATTTCAATTTTAAACTCAAATCATTCAAATCCAATTTTAAAACTTGATTCAAGTTTAATTTAATCAAAACAGGTTTAATTAATTTCAATATTATCTATGGTCAGGTTGTAGTGTAGCTTTTTTAGGTGCAAGTTTACAAAAGATTATCAGATTTTCAAGGAATAAAGTACAGGATTTTTTTTTGCAGATCCGTGAAATACACCAACAAATTTCGGCAAATCCTGAATATCTCAGTCAAATGGATGTTTACAAACCGGATGAGTGGGAGCTGAACAGAGCTGACATTCATTTGGAAGAAGAGATTGGCCGAGGTTCATTTGGACAGGTAAGCATTTTCGGAAAATAAAGTCCAGTGGCCGAGCTTTCCAGTCATATTTCCTTCCTGACAATGCATCTGCGATGAATAGCATTGAACCCGTTTCAGGGTTTTGTTTTTTTTTAAAAAGGTCTGAAATTTCAGGTATTCCTTGGTTACGGTGAGAATTGTCGTTCGGTTTTGGGCGCCGTATTTGGCGAATGCGCCGTTAAAACGGTTGCAGAAACGGCATCCAGCGCGGAGCGTCTCCACTTTCTTGTCGAAGCTAGCGTGATGAAACAGTTCGACACGTCATTCATCGTGAAA